GACTCAGGTTTTCACCCTGCACAAGTGCACAGCCCAGTATTCAAGGGCCGTAGCACCCTGTCCAGCAGCATGTCCGGACCTTTTTGTCGTGAAAAAGTTGATGTACCAGATTCAGGACCGCCGGAAGCAGTTTTCGACTGGTCTGGGCGTACCATAGTCTTTCATACTTTGTGTGTGATATGGCGGGGACATGTTCCCTCCACAGCAATAAACATGTCTTGGTTGTCACAAAGTTTGTCCGGTGATAACCTGACCAACCGGACCGGTTCTTGAGGGCCTGCAGTTCATGCACACCGCTACACGTAGATCTAGGGTTGAAAACCATGCAGTCCCTGATTGAACTAATGTTCAGTTCTGGTCTAGCATCTCATTTGGCTGTACCGCCTGAATTCCCAGTGCTCCAGCCCTGTGTTCACTGACACTGGGTTAGGGCTCCACAGGCACAGTGCCCCGTTGTGACGTCAGTGACACACATGATGGGGCTTCACTGAGCAGCATTGTCCGTCTGTCCAACTGTCCTGCTTTGGACCAAAACATTTGTGGACATTTACATGGGAAACAATAGCTTTGAATACATTTTATATATAGGTGTCCTGCTTTGGAAAGGTGCAGTCTGCACTGTGCAATCTTCAACAGTGCAAGGTCAACAACACACACTATTATTTATTTTATTTTTTATTTTTTTTGTTTTACATCGGAAGCTCAACAGTGCAGCTGCACAAATATGAAGAGGCCGATGGGACCAAAAAATATATAAAAATAAATAAATAAATAAACAATGTATAATATACATCAGTGTAAATGCACTACACCAGCGCACATGCTTCAACTGTACTCATATCTTCATGAATTCATTCTCCCACTAACCGTACTCCCCCCCCCCCCCCCCCCCCGGGCCGTAGATCTACCATTGGTCAACTCGTTACTACTGCGGTCGATCTACTGACGAAGTGATGCACAAGCAGCTAGCCGCACAGTGATCAGGTTGGTTGGTTGATACTAAAGATGTTACTTTGACGGAGTAAACAAGCAGTGGACGTTCATTCTCGTTCAAGTTCTGGCGCATTTCCTGTCTCATTCATGTTTTCGAGTACTTGTACATGTACCGAATCACGTGTTTCCGTTCTTCGCCGCTTCACTCATAACAGGATACGGTGTAGCTGAAACAACACTACACGGTTTTGTTGGGGGAAGGGAGGTTCAATCTGCGTACACGTGGACACAGCGACGTGCTTCAAGCAAAATCCGAATGTGATCCCAGCTTGGATAGCATAACGTCCTTCGGTCTCTTCTTTGCGGCCCCAGGCCTGCGCCACGATTCATTGCATTTTATCCATATTCTTATGCTATTAGGTACTATTCACGACTTTCCAATCGGGTGTCCTCACCACAGAAAACCTATTCGATTCGCTGCCACTCAATCCGCTTATGGCTAGCCAACCCGTTGCTCTCAGGAATAATAATAATTATTATGTCGAGCAAGTCTTCAACGATTGCCCACGATTTTGCTCACCGCGAGGACATTGACCCACTGTTCCCCGGACCATCCATGCCTAAAGGGTGAAAGACGGTAGCGACGATTCGACAACAATGCTACAAGTGTGGCTGTTGGAGGTGCGGACTTTGCACTCACGTCTGTCGATGGACAACACGCCGTAGCGGCGACACTCAACATACGCGTGTGCAGTGCAGTGGGAACAAAAGGGAGGAACACTATAAGCTATCATAATAATAATTAATATAATACCATCCGCACTTGACTCACCTTCCTATCAAGACGGGTGAAAATCCTGGCTCTCTCTCTCAACGGTTACCCCTACTGGCCCTAGGTCAAAGCAGCGTTATCGATCTTCGCCTTTTTTCTTCTTCTTGATGTTAGCTACTGGTAGTTTGCCGTGGAATCGCGCCCAGTCCCTCACATCCAAGGTGTGTGGCATTCGCACGTGTATCATGTAGATCTACCTGTCTGCTGCACGAGATTCCACAGACTTGGACACAGAGTGAGACTTGGACTAGGCGCAAGGCTAATCTGAACCGGCCATGAAGGTCGGTGTTTTGTTTCACACCGGTGCACCGTCATATTCATAATGTCATGTGCCATGACTGTAGTCTTGTAGACTAGCAGGGCTCGGACAGCCTTGCACGCTTCACTCGCCCGTCGATAGGCCGTCGTCTGAGCTGCCCTGACATTCAGTCATTGATGACGACTGACGTCTTTCCGTTGATAGAACACTCAACAGCTAGCTCTGCCGAGTATGTGTGCGGCTGAGCCGAGCCCCAACTGGCCTTTGGAAGTTTGGAGCACGTGATAATGTGACGTTTGTGGCGGTGTCTGGACGTGCCCGGACGCATGTAGTCAGCGCACATGATTTGGGGGCTAGCCCTTGCAAGCTTGGCGGATAAAGTAATGCCCGCAGAAAAATTATTTTGGGAGAAATACCGGTACCGTATTATCTCTATTAGTACAAGCCCAGTCTCTTTTAGAAGCCCGGAGTCCGGACTGGTTGAAAAAATATAAGCGCTGGGCTTATATTGGAGATAATACAAATTGATACTTTTCCTGGTATGTTTCATGCATGTTTGATAAGTGGATAAAGAAACAGTGACAACCGGTTCAAGCCTAAGGCAATCCTCAGGCAACTGATAGTCTTTGTATCGTGACTGGCTACAAACGTACAAGTACATGACGATTGTACAGTGCTGGCAACTGAAATCCGACCCCCCGGCCCTAGCGGTGCGCTAGCCGCGCTAGCGATTCGTACCAGACGCTAGAGGGGGGGGGGGTCGGATTTCAGTTGCCAGCACTGTATATGCAGGCAAGTGCTAAAGTGTAACATTGACATTGTGGCTAGCGAGATATAGCGCGGACGGTGTCAAGTCACACGAGTGGTGAAGAGAAAGGATATTTTGTCTTTTGAAGGATAAGTGACAGAAGCCCTAGGTGGATACTGCTTGACATTTTATTTATTTATTACAGCATCTCATAGCACAGTGAGAACACCGGCCAATGTAAAGAGAGAGGGTGTTAGCCAACCACGGCAAGGAAGGGAGAAGATTCAGAGAGAAGGAAGGAAGAAGGGAGAAGATTCAGATTCTGCTCGAAAAGCAGTGAAATCGCAGAACCGTACAAACCTTATGGCAGGCACTTCCTTGCTCCATTTCTCTACCCATACTACCAAACATGCATGAAACGTACCAGAAAAAAGTACCGAATTCTGCCGATTTCTCTGCCCGCATTACCCACCGAGGTCTACGGCCAAGACGCAGTGACGGCATGTAGGTCCTGGTACATGTAATACTAACAGTCGGCAAATCCCGGTGACGTCAGGCAGGACCCGGTGACAACGGGCAGGCGACTACAAAGTCACAGCAGTGTAGCAGGGTGAATTCTACCTCTCGTGCTATACTGGTGACAGAAGCAGTGGTGTGATTTAAGGTTAAAATAGTTACATGCCGGTGCCGTCACCAAGACCTGCCTACGGTCAATGAGTCTTGACTGTCAGCTCTCCTTCAAAAGATCATTATTTTCTCTTCACCTCTCAATCTCATGTGATTTGACACCATCCGCGCCAAATCTCACTAACGACAATGTCACACTTGCCTAAACATACCTGTATGTCCGTAGCCAGATGATGAACACACACTGAACACACACTGGTTGAAGCTCAAAGTAGAGCTACAGATCTGAGCTCAAAGTGGAGCTCCCGTTGGCTCAAAGGAGAGCTGGTGTTTGCTCAAAATGGACTTGCTGTTAGCTCAAATACGAGTGAAAGTAGAGCTGCAATACTGAATGGCAACAGTGAGTTATAGTCCAAGGCAGAGCACCAGCAAATAGTTAGATAACACCTGATGTGGAAGTGGAAACGATTAATGTGTCCAAGTATAATGATGGTGTTAACGAGGTGGATAGGGAGGAATGGTGGGAAAAGAAATGCTGCTGAAGCATAATCTGTTTTCCGAAAAGGCATTGCAGTGCAGGGCAAGCAAAATTTCCTTATTGTTTCCAGCGAAAATAGGCCGGACCCCCTTTTTGTGACACGCAGCAAGGAAAGCACATGATGGCAGTGTTGAATCCCTCGCCCGGCAGAGAAGTGTGAAAAGCCTCTTGTTCGGGCAAAGCAAATATGCTTACATAATATTATGACACCGAAGGATGTACCCAGAGTGCTGACAGTGCTCAACACCACAAAGGCAGAGCGTAATACACAACAGAACAACAAGGAAAGCTACTTTTAAGTTTCATGCTTTAAGTTTCATGCTCACGCAATCATCAGGCAACGTGCCTGATGATTGCGTAAGCATGAAACTTAAAGTAGCAGCAAACAAGCCTTGATTGTCCTTGTTGTTCTGTTGTAATATTATGACACAAAATCTCAATAAAAAATGAACAAAACGCCAAGAATTTGAAGAAAAAGACTCAATCCAATCCTTTGTTGCCATAACGGGAACTGAAACCCAACACAAATCTGAGAAGATGGCAAGTACAGACAGCTGGCGGTCACGCGGCAACAAAATCATCAAACGTAAGCACTAACAATGTTGAAACATGGTTGCAGGAGACAAACTACAAGTAGAAAAGCACTGGGCAGGCAGCGGTGCAAGAAGCCGTGGTCTCGCCTACGGCCATACGACCCCCTGCACCCGCGGAAGCATGTTAATGGCCCAACGGAGCAGAGTAAACGATAGGAGGCCCCGAAGCTCACCCATTACTACCGAGTAGGCAAGCTCGCTATGCTTCTCCACCAGTTGCGATGCCAGTGCCTTCAAACACAATGTCGTCTCTTTACCGCACATGCCGGAGGTACTGAAAACGAGAGGAGTGAAGGCTCCGCGAACCACACTGTTCACTCTGTCACAGTATGTTCTTTTTTTAGCCTTTTCATGCGCCTGGAGCTGACTCAAGACTTCCGATCGAGACAGCAGGGAGGCTTTCGGGTGAGTGACCCGTACATCATAGAAAGCATCCCGCTGCCTCGACCAAAAGCCCCGAGCCCGAATATCCAGGCGGGCTCCTGCCGACCGGCCTGGCAAATCCTCTCCCTCATATGGGAGCAGAGTCGGCTCGGTCTCCACATCCTTCACCACCTCCCGCATTACCTCCACCAGGAGATCTCTAATCTCATTGTGGCGAGCGATGAGGTATCCCCCGCATGGGCACGCTAAAGCATGATCCGTGGTGAGGGCAGCCACACACACACAGGTACTGCGGAAACCAGTGAGTCTTGAATGTGGTACAACGCAATGCCTTATGAAGTGCGCCTTATGAAGTGCAGGGCGTGAGCTAGTTCGGATTGTAGCAGCGAGTACTGGCACAGCAGCATCCCACTATCAGTTGTCTGAGGATTGCCTTATCCTTGCTACAATGTATGTGCAGTGTATCATGTTGTACATGTACGGTAGCGTTGCCATGGTTACAACTACAGTGAAACCTGTCAAGGCGACCACTCGGATAATGCGACCGCCTGTCCTAGAAGACCACTGGAACCAGAATCAAGGGATGCTCTTTCCAGTCAAATGACCCTGGATAAGGAGACCACCTGGTAACAGAGACCACGTTTCGAAGGTCCCTTGAGCGGTCGTCTTAGACAGGTTTCTCTGTATCATCCTTGCGGTGTCCAGCAAGCTGGGAATTCTCACTATTGTACGCTTTGTACTGTACGGTTTTGCCACTTTCACTGCCTTTCGACCAGAACCTGACATTCGATTTGTCGAGCATTATCAGCCAAAGCATAATGATTATCGTCTGTGGACATGTCCGCACAGAAAGGGATTATTTCATGGCGTACTTGTACTCCGTTGCCCGTAATCCGCAGACATCTGCGGAACTCCGGAGTGCGGACGACGGCGTCTAGACATGACATGATGCCTATAATGATATTGATGGCAGGCCGATGTCATATGGAGGTGTAAGTAATAGTTGTTGTCATGACGCATCTGGTTATCTTACGACAAACATGACTGTACTGTATTGTATTGTAATAGTACATGTAGTAGTACTTTTTTTGTGTAGTAGTAGATTGTACATGATTGATCGATTGTCGTCTGTTGTTCGTCACGTGTCGCATGGTATCCATGGTGCCAAGGCGCGAAGACTCCTTCGATCGTGGTCTTCCCTCCTCACACTCTGACACAGTCATCAGGTCATTGATGCTAGGCACCGCGAAGCTTCGTGACCGTGATGACCGTAGAATCATGGTTGACGTCTACGAGACAACTCTACTCTCTAGTCACTAGTCACTGTACTAGTCATAGACTTGTTTTTGAATCAGTCATCACCATGTACCAGGCGCTACAAGCAGGTCATCGGCCTTTCCTGGTGCTTTGTTTATTTTTGACAGTGGGTCGCGTCGACTCTTTGAAGTTTGAGCCTTTTTCTCCTACAATGGGCTACATGAGAACATCTCCTGCGAAATTTGACGCGGGCGTCTAGTGGAAACACGTAGGCTGCAGTAACGTAGAAGTTTGTGTACTAGCAAACAGCGAGAATTACTTCACAGAATACAAGTTACTTGGTTGAGAAGAGATATTTTGCTGAGGAGTACGAGTGAGGGTAAGCGCTAGCAACGGAAGCCAACAGGATCTCTCGCAGCGGAGCGGAATCTAAACGTTCTGGCGACTTATCACAGGGCCAGGCCAGGGGGTTGCACGTCGAGCCGAGTGAGATCTTATGGAGCTCTAGTCCACGGCTACTCCGCGAGGACGATTGGTGTTCTGCAGTGTGCTGACCTGTTCAACTCGGACGCACTTGCTTCGTGTCCGACGGCCTCGCAGCCAGCTAGCTGTTGCCACAGAGCTGCGTCCGGACGAGAAAGGAATTCTTTGCACACACAATTACAAGTACAAACATCGGCGCTCGGTGGCAGCCGGCCGGGACTGCCGAAGCCGCCTGGCTGAATGAGCAAGAAGTTGAATGGAGACATAGAAGCGAGGGACACCCAGTACAGTCTGTGTGAGCTTTACCGAGCATCACTTGTACTGTGTGCGCAGAATGTGTGACAGCGCCTGTAGCTTTCCTTCCTAGCAAGCAAATCCGTGATTTGGAGGAATCCAGACTCCAATTGGCTAGGACAACAACGACTTACTAGCCCTGAGCGCAGAGTCCAACAGCTTTGCTAGCCAATATCCAACCCTATTGGCGTGCGTTGCCAGGGTAATAGTAGCCACAATGGCGGAAGCAGTCAAGGTCATTGTGCGCTGTCGGCCGCTAAACAGGCGCGAGAAGGATCTCAACTGCGGTGTGGTGGTGCAGATGGACGAGAAGACCGGCCAGGTGGGACTAGTGAAGCCCGGGGCCGAGAGCAAGAAGGAGCCGCCGAAGAACTTCACCTTTGACGGCGCATTCTTCGTCAACAGGTAACCATAGGAATGAACTTGCCTTATGTGGCATCATGTGGAAGCGGAAGTAAGACCTAAAATCTCGCAGTTTACGAGATGAACTAGTAGTCGCTCAGGTGCTGATTTGAGTGGTTTTGGTGCGAGGAAGCTGCGATGCTCCGCTTGTCAATTAGTTGCAATAGAGTTCACGCACCCCATCAGGGCGTTAAGTTCTTCAGCCTTCCGCACCAATACCATACAATAGCACCTACCGCATTTTTCCGAATATAAGTCTTCCTTTTACGACCTAAAACAGACCTAAAAACGGGGTACTCGACTTACGATCGGGGTTTCACTGACATATTAAAACCTTAATCAGGCCAATGTTCACAAAAGGGAACATATATTATTTCTCGGGAAATTGAGGTCCCCAGTACGAGGCTTCGACTTACAACAGGGTTTCACGACCATTAAACCGGGAAATTGAGGTCACCAGTACGGGGCTTCGACTTATAACCGGGGGTCGACTTATAAACGGGAAAATACTGCACTCATTCAAAACGACTGCAGCCCCTTTTGTGGGGCGACGTCTCCCGTACTGGGCAGGTATAGCGAGCTCAAGTACAGTTGTGAGTAGGACAAAGAGTATATAACCCCCCCCCCCCCCAAAAAAGTGTGCAACTACTGATGCCCTTTATATGGGGCACGCCGACGGCGAAAACTAACATTACGTGGTGTAATGTCCCAGTTGTACGTTTCCAGCACGTTTTTAGCGAGCAGCGGTGTACTTCGAGTATAAAAAAGCACGCTCTGACAGAAACTCACTGCGCGTATGCAAATCCCCAGCATGATTATGGCAGATATTATGCATACATGTAGCTTCTATTCAGGGCCCGGACGTCTGACATTATCATCTGTCTTGTGTGTGTGTGTGTGTGTGTGTGTGTGTGTGTTTGTGTGTTTTGGTATTTCCCATCCACTGCACAGCTTGACGGAGACTATATACGAGAACATTGGTTTTCCGCTGGTGGAAGGCGTAATGGAGGGCTACAATGGAACAGTGTTTGCATACGGACAGACGGGCTGCGGCAAAAGCTTTAGTATGACGGTAAGTAAAACAACACAATCATAGAAAAGAAAAGAAAAAGGACCAAGGAACTACAAGTTACGCTCTAATGTCCACCAACACCACCAGTTACTAAACAATCTGCTGATGCGAAAACATTGCACAATCATAATTGTATTATTTACTGCCCACTCTTACGCAAACAGCATCAGGTGCATGATTGGAACTTCACAACTTGTTTCAGATCACGATTATGTTGTGAGAACCATTGGACTTCGGGCATAAGGACACTTCGCGAATAAGGACACTTTTCTGATGCCCCGCCTAGTGTCGTTCTGAGCGAAGTTGACTGTACATGAAGATAAGAACGGTCTATGCTACGAGGGTGACCCCCCTCCCCCCCCCCCCTTCCCCCTCCGCCCCCAGTTCTTCGGAGCCCAGCAGCACTGTATGTGGATATTCAATATACAGTGAACCCTGTCTAAGACGACCCCTCCAGGGACCTTCAAAACCAGGTCTCTGTTACCACGTGGTCTCCTTGTCCAGGGTCATTGGACTGGAAATAGCATTCCTTGGTCCTGGTTTCAGTGGTCTTCTAGGACAGGTGGTCGCCTTATCCCTTTGGTCGCCTTGACAGGTTTTACTGTAGTGAAAAAGGCTGGACCCAAAGCCTGCAGACACGACTGATTCTCATTTCTCATTACCGTAAAGTACCGCCAGAGCGCCCCGTCTCGCGAGAGCGCCCCACCTTGATTTTACAGCCAAGGGAAGAAAATCGTATGGCAGAATGCTACTAAGTTTGTACGATGTGAGAACCTTCGTGTACTAAGGTCACACTTGGTATGCTTTTATGTAGAGCTCGAAGGTAAACTGGGTACGGATTGACTGCACAATGTGCAATGTTTGTACAAGGTCCGTGTCGTATGACCGACAGACAGGAATCCACCTCCACAAGTCGGCCACGAAAGGACGAGATGGTGGGGCGCTCTGGCGGTACTTTACGGTATACCCAAACTGTACTGTCGTGGACGTGGAAATCCGGTCGCACGTCTAGCGGCCCCAGGGCGCTGGCCATGCAGCCGTGGGTAAGCGGTGCACACATGCGTTTATGCGCTGCAGCGCGCCGGTCGCATCGGATCAACATGACCGCGCACTGCACGCAACGACGTTCTGTACGCGCTGAGGGCGCCGGCCCCGGTCAATCGACTGGATTTCCATGTCCTCGACAGTACCGCAAAACCTGTCAATGCGACCACGCGGATAAGGCGACCACCTGTCCTAAAAGACCACTGAAACCAGGACCAAGGGATGCTATTTCCAGTCAAATGACCCCGGATAAGGAAACCACCTGGTAACAGAGACCGCGTTTTGAAGGTCCCTTGAGCGGTCGTCTTAGACAGGCTTCACTGTATGGTGCATCCAGGGAATGTCACATCTCACCACACCTACGGGCCTTGGCAGATTGACAATGGCACCGCAATACACATACAGGTCGTCCCTCATTATAACGAGTCCGGTTAGTACATAAACCCCGTTAGTAAATAGAAATCTGAAATCCCCTGGCGAAACGTGGTCTATACAACTGTTTACAGGTCCGGTTACAACATAATCCGTTAGTACATAAATCCGTTCTAACGACCCTTCGCCCAGGTCCCTGGAGTGCCAAACCCTCAGTATAAGATAATATTAACCATGCAGGACCAAGGCCAAAACATGTAGGATAAAGCAGAACGAGGAAACGTATGATGTCTATGTATTCGTGAATATGGACGATCCTTTGCATCCAAGGAAGAGTTATGTTGGAGATTTTCAATTATCTTATAACGAGTTGTAGCATCGATAATTTATGTTGTATCGAGGGTAGCCCCGGTAAGTACGAAGTGGTGCCTATTTCACCTTTAGCTGCAAGTCCTGCTACAATATAAGTCTCGTTATAAGATAACTTTTTCGATGGCCCAGAGATTATCTACTAACGAGGGAGGACCTGTATACTGCTGTTTGTCTCTAATATAAGCACAGTCTCCAATAATAGCACGTCTCCAATAACAGAACACCTTGGGGCGGCATTCAAAAAATAAAGTGCTCAGTCTCCATTATAAGCACACTGTGTAAATTCATTATCTGTACCGGCGAAAAAAACCTGGAATATGTGTGTCTGACATGAATTTGGCATGGCAACATGCCTCTGAAATGAGGTTGAAATAATAATGGAACAGTATCCAATAAAGGAACGTCTCCATTAATAGCACGGGGCGGAGGTACATTGAAAAAATAAAGGACCGTGCTAATATTAGAGATAATACGGTATACTGCTGTTTGTCTCTATACCTTACTCTGCGGTGCAGGGAATTGAGGATCCACCAACGCAGCGGGGTATCATACCAAGAGCCTTCAAACACATATTCGAATCCGTTGCCAGTAACAACGAGGCAAAGTTTCTCATCCATGGTAGCTACCTGGAGATTTACAACGAGGAGATCCGTGACTTACTCGGCAAAGACAGCAAGAGCAAGCTTGATCTTAAGGAGCATCCTGATAAAGGTATGGCCTTCTGAGGGTATGGGTCTGTGTGTGTGTGTGTGTGTGTGTGTGTGTGTGTGCGCACGCGCGTATGTGTATGTGTGTGTTTGTGTTTGTGTGTGTGTGTGTGCATGCGCGTGTACGTGTGTGTATGCAAAGCATAAGAGAGATAGGCAGAACAGGTTGAAAAGTGAAATTCAGACAGACTCAATGTATGTCTAGGTGGCTCTCTCTTCTCCTCTTCCTCTTCTAGGCGTGTACGTCAAAGATCTGACCAAGATGGGAGTGCACTCCGTGGCGGAGATTGAACACGTTATGGAGCTCGGCGGCAAGAACCGGTCGGTGGGTGCCACTCTGATGAACGCCGACTCGTCGCGCTCCCACTCCATCTTCACCATCAGTCTGGAGCGGTGCGACGCCGATGCTGATTCCGGTGCTGGACTGCGAGCGGCCAAGCTCAACCTGGTCGACTTGGCAGGATCGGAGCGGCAGGGAAAGACCGGGGCCACGGGGGATCGCCTCAAGGAGGCCACCAAGATCAACCTGTCCTTGTCGGCGCTGGGAAACGTCATCTCGGCGCTAGTGGATGGTAAAGCAAAGCATATTCCCTATCGTGACTCCAAGCTGACGCGTATGCTGCAGGTAAACCTTTGACACGGTATACTATTCGATAACATCTGTACTCTGCGAATGTTTGCTGTTGTCAGCAGGAATATCGAATTTGTCGTCAATTTGTTTCATGTTTCCGGGCAGGCCCTCTAGCCAAGTCTGACGTGAACCGCGAAAAAAATCCGGGCCGTGTGGGTAGAGGCCACTGCTAACCTTGCGTCAACATTCATTTGTCGTGTATGGAAAAGACCACCTTTCAATAGAGACCACCTGTCTTTGGACATCACCTGTCAACAGAGATCACCTGACAACAGAGACCACCTGTCAACAGAGACCAGTCCCTTCAGTCACCCTATTGGGAAAGACAACGTGGCTAATGGATTAATGAGACCAGTTAGTTTACAACCAAGACCTTGCTTGTGCAGGCATTGGAGCCTGTGATAAAAGACCACGTGTCAGGGGTGTCGGAACGAGTTCAACCTTGGTGTGGCTATGAAGGGGGAGGGGGTTGAGTACTACCCCCCCCCCTCCCCCAGGGAAAGAGATTGGACAATTGGGCCCAAATAGCCCATATTTGATGGCTTCAAAAATCCCAAGATGAAATTATTGGTGCGCCTTTGGCCCCACCTGCCCCACTCGTTCCAACACCCTTGCGTGTCTTTAAAAACCTGTATAGCCCATATACCCACGTGTGATCACACTAAACACAAGGTTGTACTGTGCGTGTGGGCTCCTTTCGTCATTCCAGGACTCATTGGGAGGCAACACCAAAACGCTCATGGTGGCGTGCGTCAGCCCGGCCGATAACAACTACGATGAAACGCTGAGCACATTGCGCTATGCTAACCGAGCCAAGAACATCAAGAACAAGCCGAAGATTAACGAGGACCCCAAGGATGCATTGCTGCGAGAGTACTCCGATGAGATTGCACGCCTGAAGGCCATGCTTACTGGTCAAGGTATACCCACAGGTAAGAGAGATGAGGATGAATGGGTTATGGTGATGCATCGTCAAGGCAAGCTGCTGGGAGATTACTCAATGCAATGGGTGTAGAGCCTTTATGCACGCACCCGCACACACTCACGCGCACACTCGCACGCATTCACACCCGCATGCACCACCCACACCCACACTCACATGCACCCACACCCACCCACACTCACATACACCCACACTCACAAACACCCACACTCACATACACCCACACTCACACTCACACGCACCCACCAGAATACCCTCCTACTTACTATACAGTAAAACCTGTCAAGGCGACCACACGGATAAGGCGACCACCTGTCCTAAAAGACCACTGGAACCAGGACCAAGGGGTGCTATTCCCAGTCAATTGACCCTGGATAAGGAGACCACCTGGTAACAGAGACCACGTTTTGAAGGTCCCTTGAGCGATCGTCTTAGACAGATTTTACTGTACTTTGTAATCTAGTCTATAGTGGATATCCTTCGCCCCACCTTTTAAGCTTCCCACACTACTGTCGGGTGCGGAGGAACTTGGGGATCAGAGTCGTTGCCCGGACCGTTCTTTCTTCATGCACTACAATCTATGCAGAGTTGAGTCGCAGGTGTGTATGTCAATAGGCAATGCTGGGTGAAATCCTAAATCCTGTTCGTTCTTGGGCGCTCCGCTTTTCGGCACCCGACAGTACTGTAGCCAGACATAACACATCTGTAGGGGAACATAACTATATACAGGTTTGACAAAAGTAGGCTGAGGAGTATGCTATGGCAATTTTTTGGATTGAAGTAGGTTTTTGAGCCGAAATTGGGCTTTCAAATGCCAGTGGGACTGTTTTGGATTAATGGCTTGTACTGTAAGTCTGCAAATTTTCGACCTGGTCAAATTTTGGCCTCGGAGGCCTAAACACATTTCGGCCGCATTAAAATTTCGGCCTTTACTGCTGCCGCCTGTATACACTGGCACACTGAACATTGGAAAACAAAATTTCGGCAGCAACAAATTTTTGCCTAAATATGCCCAGGGCAAAAATAGCCAAAAATGGATATGCGCAAGATATTTGTTGACTTGCAGTATACACTTGTGTTGCCTTACAGATATATCTGCTGCTCAGTCATCTACTGGTGCCAGTGCCGGTGCCGGGGCAAATTCTCGTGAGCTGGAAGAGGCGCGTGAAGCAGCCGCCATTGCGCAGCGCGAGGCCGAGGAGATACGCCGTCAGTATCAGCAGCAGGTCAGACACCCTAATCATGCTCCATTCACTCCATGACTCTCTGATATCGTGCATACATGTACTGTCGGTCGCAGAAGAACTAGGGGTCAGCCTCCAAGCCAAGAACGTTCTTATTTTCATGTAATTACAGTCTATGCGCAGTTGAGTCACCGTGTATACATTGGTATGATGTGCTGGATGAAATTCTAGCCTGGTCGTTCTTTGGCCCTCCGTTCTTTCGTACTTCCATTCAAAATGCCACCGCTGTGCAGCATCTGATGGTTCTGTGGTATTCAGTAAAAAAACCTTTTAAAATTTAAGTGGTCTTACAGTAATTGTTTAGGAGCTGCATTTGCACCCATATAAGGTGGTGATGTTTCTATGGATACGTAACACTCTGCCTAGACTTGGCCTCCAGCCGAGTACCCGCTCGAACCATGATCTCAGTTTTGATCTCTACAGTGCTATAAGATGCGATCGTTGTGTGTATTGCTGATGTGTGCTCAGGTCCAGGAGATGCAAGCATCCTTCAAGGCGGCTCAGGCTAGCAATGAGGAGCTGGAGAGGAACCTGGCCTCGCTGCAAACCGACTTCAAGTCCAAAGAGGCGGACGCCAAACGACGCCTTTCGCACGCCGAAAGTCAGCTGACGAGCCTTGCACCCGGTCAAGACGGTGGAGAACATAATCAGGCAGTGCAGGATGCGGTCGTCTTCAACGCGGAAGAGGTTTGTACCCATACGTCTGCCCTTAATGTTTTCCCCGTGCTTGTGTGTGTGTGCATGTGTGTGCATGTGTGTGTGTGTGTGTGTGTGTGTGTGTGTGTGTGTGTGTGCGCGTGTGTGTGGTAAGGGGACATAACTTGTGAGTTAGAAGCTTTATCCCAATCAAATATGACTCACTGCCAGTTAATAATCCTTTGGAGACTCCATCGAATGGGGGTGGGGGAGGTTGTTACTGTCATGAATGTATTCGTAAAATCGAATCTCTGATCGCAGGTGGCATTTGCGTACACATGACGATGCACGGTACAAGAGTGTGTGTGTGTGTGTGTGTGTGTGTGTGTGTGTGTGTGTGTGTGTGTGTGTGTGTGTGTGTGTGTGTGTGTGTGTGGTGTGTGGTGTGTTTTAATTCCTCCACCCATGTACAGGCGGCTCATGGCGAGGAGCCAACGGGAGCACAGCAGCAGAAACACCGCAAGCTGAGACAGGCGGCACCACACCAGCAGCAGCAGCAGGCCGGGCTACCGGCTTCTACGGTGTCAAACGCCACGGCAACGATGGCGGCACAGTCGTTGTCGTCGGCAACCAGTCCACAACAGGTCGCCGCGCTGCAGCGCTTGCAGCAGTTGCAGGGCCAGCTGGTCGGCGGGGAGAGGGCGGGCGACTCCGTGCTTAAGGAACAGCTGCAGACGCGACGCAAGCACGCAGACACGATGAAGGAAACGCTCGCTCAAAATCTCGAGGACGACGGAGACCTCGGTGTGATGGAGGCGATTTATGATAATATGCAGGATGCCATCAGGGCAAAGCATAAGCAACTGGAGAAAGTCACGGCCAGGCTGAAAGCATCCGAAGCAGAGGTTATGGATCTCCAGGAGGAGTTTGAGAGAGATAGATACGATTACCTGGACACTATAAGAAATCAGGTACGGCTGATGGGGATGTGTCTGTGTGTATGTGGGAGGGGGGGGGGGGAGGGGTAGTGTGTGTGTGTGTGTGTGTGTGTGCGCGTGTGTGTGTGTGATTTTTGGGGGGGGGCATGCACATACATGTATTTTCGTGTGTGTGCATGTGTGTTTGTGTTTGAGAGAGAAGGAGAGCCTCTGTGGATATGTGTGCAGGCAACTGTAAGTATGTGTGTGTGTGTGTACATGTGTGTGTGTACATGTGTGTGTGTACATGTGTGTGTGTGTACATGTGTGTGTGTGTACATGTGTGTGTGTACATGTGTGTGTGTACATGTGTGTGTGTACATGTGTGTGTGTACATGTGTCTGTGTACATGTGTGTGTGTACATGCGTTGCAGGCATACGTTTGCCCAGGTGTGTGTGTGTAGGTTGACCGCAGAGTCATAATTATTTCAATGCCACCTTTTTCTGGTGTTTCATGTTCACACACATACGCAGGACAAGGCTCTGGCATTGCAGCAGCAGATTCTGGACATCGTCGTACCGTGCTTACGCCAGAACTGCAACTACAAGAACCTCGACTGGGTGAAGAACGTAGCTGTGTGGAACGAGGAGGATAGATCCTGGAAACTACCCAAGCTTGAGCTGGTCAAGGACAATCTTCCGGCAGCTACAGCCGTGGGGTTAACCAGTGAGTGGACACGTGTGGTTAGAAGGGCGTTCGTGTGGGTGTGCCAGGAGAGGGGGGTGGGTCGTTTTGGGTAGGGGTGAAGTGGGTATGGGTGAGGTGGTGGGTAGGGGTCGGTGGTGGGTAGGGGTGAGGTGGGTAGGGGTCGGTGGTGGGTAGGGGTGAGGTGGGTAGGGGTGGTGTGGATAGGGACGTTGTGGGTGGGGTTTGGGCTTCAGAGGTGTAGAAGGCATGTGGTGTGTGTGTGTGTGTGTGTGTGTGTGTGTGTGTGTGTGTGTTGATATCCGTGAGGTTGAACATATATTATGCAGTCGAATGGCTGCTACATGTAGATCTGAAGATTGTTTTGTTCTATTCACGAGGAATTGCTATGCCCGCGAGGTTTTCATTCACAAGGTTGACCTTGCTGAAGTAAAATTATCACAGACTTTGTTAGTGTGGAGCAGGCATACTCAACTAGCACATTGGTAGAGGAGATGGTTTCAAACAGCACACAGGTCGAAAACAGGACCAGGCTCAATATTCACTTTCTCTCTTGGTATTTTGATCAGAAAACATATGTCACAGTGAGACTACGATGTGTTATACTCCGAGCCAAACTTCATGGCTCTGCGATGACCAGAAGCGCCATACCAAGCAGATGAGTTTTTGACGTATTGCGTTGCACTGCGACTTGAATTCAACGTCTTTCGAAGCTTTTTACTTCTTGTCGCAGCTAAACAGCGGCTCACCTCTCGCCAATAAAGCACCGTATACCAATGAAAACTAATGGAAGCACACACAAGGATTATTTTTTTCTCGTGTGGCGATAGCAATTACCTAATTTCAGAACTCATGGTGAACTTGACATGGACTCCAAAACTGTTCCTGTTTAGAGCCACCTCTGTGACACCAAAATTTGAAACGAAAAATCGAGCAGCTTGGAGGCAACGGCCCAACACAAAGGACTGGCTCAGTTTGATCGACTCTGGCCTCAGAGAACACTTCAACATGCCAGCTTCCTTCCACAAACATAATTTCGAGTGAACGATCCACAGTGATGATCGGTTTGGGTCTACACAATTTTGCTGTCAAACCGTTCCTATTTGAAACCTGCTCCTCTGCACTCTACTGTATAGTGTATTGGCTTGCACTGTCCTGACTGTGTGTGCTTGCTGGCTGCATGCGTCGTCTGTACTTGGTGATCCTCTGCAGGTGATAAGCGAGAGCAACACCCGAGGGAATCGCCACACAGGGGACGCGTCATCACGCACGGCGTCGATCAGGCGGCAGGCAGCAGGACCGCCGTGGGCGTTCCAATGCACATGACTGCTGGCGGTGCGAGCGGTGTGGCAAACGGTCGGAGCAGTCCAGCAACCGGCATTCAACCCGTCGCAGGCCGGAGCATGTACGAGCAACTCGACGAGGACAGCGCGGACAGCGACGCACGTCTCCGCGCCAAGCTCAGCAACACCACGGAGTCGGACTACTTCAAGCCGAAGCGTGCCACCCAGCTCCTGGCGGAGGCGGCCGAGCAGCGTCGGCGGGGGCCAATGCCGACGCCGAACTACCAGCAACGCTACGACGCCCTGCCCAATCCCAACCAGCTGCCACCGTACCTCTCCAGTAGCGGTGGTCCGCAGTTGAAACCACTGAACTGGCTGACGGGTGACAACGCCCATCCTCAGACACCGCCACAGTCACAGCAGACACGGCAGGAGAGAAAGCCGCCGCCGAAGAGCGGGCTCGGTCGGCATGGAGCGCTGGAGCCGCTAAATAAGGACGTGTTCCGACGACCTCCGTACTGACCCGCCATCCATAATTAGACTTGCTCAATCATAATGCAGATGTGTAGTGGCAGTGACCATGCATATGATAATGGATATCTATTCGCCTGCACGAATGTCGGATGGTGAGTAGGCGTGGTATTGGCCGATGATATCGTCTTGGTAACCTGATAAACGTGTAGCTACTGTGCAACCTCATGATGTACGTGACGAGACATTGGTGTTATGGTTGTTTGCTAAACCGATGTCGCTGTGCCTTCTACTCCTTGAGTTTGCAATAACCCTGCATGTTATGCTTGCTACGAGCTCGTATTTGCAACAGCAGCATCTGATAATAAGCAGCCGCTGCATTCTCTATTAAATTATTTTTCAAAAACGACACGATGCCAATAATTGATTCTGTCATACCCGGCCCCCTCTGTCGGTGAGCCGCATTCAACTAATTGTTACTTAAACAACCTTTGCAAGCCGCAGAAAACCCTACATCATCATCACCGAAGCAAGTGGCTTCTTCGCTGCAAATTCCATGCATAGTCTCAATCAAATTTTCGGCCAGGAAGATGATGGTTATAAAGTACCTAAAGAGGAGCTTGCACACCTTTTAAAGAAACACATGTAAGCATGCAGCACTTTTGACTTATCTTCCTCGCAATGACTTTGTCTGTCTGTGACGAGGAGCTATCCAGGCTCCGATGCTCCCAGTGGTGCGATATTGTTCCGACGCGTTGTTCTACTGTTCCTGTTTATGGCGTTCACGTACCGTCGGGATTCCCTGCACTTCTGTTTTGTTCCATGCATGCTCTCTGCTAGCGACTAAGTGTCTGTGCAAAGACAGTGTGTGAGCCTCGAATACACTTGTACACTGGTTGTCCAACCGTCCTGCTTTGGACCAAACATGTGTATACATTTATATGGGAAACGATTGCCTTTGCATACATTTTACATGCATGTCCTGCTTTGGAAGGTGACAAGGTTGCACAGACTGTGGGCAGTCTAGCTGCACAGGCGGGCTGTTGATCTGAGTGATGTGATCATAGCCGATAATCCACTACAGGCGGTACATGTGTCAGAGGACTGCATGACGTCATAATTACACAATAATTATTATTTTCGTTTTCCGCTCATCAGTACGTGCAGTGGAATACGAGGTGGATTTCATCAAAGTAAAAACTGATTTCATTTTTACCCAATACAATCATTTTACATGGTGAACAGTGAATGCATCTCGTGATTTCAAGTGATGTTTCGAGATTCAATCACAACATCAACAGCCGATATCACTATACGGCGATAGGCATTAGCCGATCACTGCAGACTGTCACAACTAACACGACTTGTAGACTTCGTAGACCCTCGAGGTCCAGTTGAACTCACGCAGTAGAATCTACGCAGTAGATCTGCGCACTCTGATAAACACATTGTCATACTCATTCACAAGCCTCTTTTACCGGCTAAAGCAACACAATGGCCGGGTCGTCGCTACTTCTTCTAAAGCAACACAATGATGAGAAACCAGGGTATGATAGGAAGATAATACATGTAATTATAGTGGCGAGAGTTTTACACTAAAACACAACTGCATGGTTTAGATCCGGCTTTCAACCACCGCCAGCTCCCTGAGCTCGTTAGCTTTGGACGATGGTATGCAGACCGAGACCCATGGAGACTCATGCCATGACGGCGGACGGGAGCAGCGCGAAAGACAGCCTGCATGCAGTGCACATAGTGACATACCCTATGCAACATGGTTTGCATAGCCTTAGGGCATGCTGGAATCAGCCCTGGCAAGCAAGCCACAGACTAGGCTTTCCCCAAATCGGCCTGTTTTTTTCGCCTATTCGGCTTTTCGCTTAGCTAAAAAATGGATCAGATTCGGCTGCATGATCAGCTGATTGTACGAAAATCGGCTGCAAAATGGAAATAATAATTATTTCCACTGATGATTGTGACAAGAAAATCGATTTTGGTAAACCTTCATGACTTTGTTGTAGTGTGGCGATGACAGCAGAATTTGTTCTCTTTATACATGTAGCTATTATAATAATTATTTCATATTAGCACCATATCCCTCACACACTCATACTCAGCCCAAGGCAACAAGGAATTGTTTTGGAGATAGTGTGCTGCTTCGAGTAACTGGTCTTGTAATGCAAAAGCTCGAAGAGCTGGAAAGCAATGCCAGGCCACTGGCAGCAACTGGCTCGCGAGGAGCCGCAATAAACCCACATTGTGCCACAATGGGGTTGCAAGGCAAAGCCAATGCAATTGGCAACAACTGGCTCGTGAAGAGCCGCAACTAGCGAAGCAAGTGACCAGTTAGGAGCGATAGAGCTAAATGTTCCATAGTACCATTAGCAAGATGATAAAATGGGAGGGATGGAGGGTGAAAATTTGGTGCTGGCACAAGCTAAAAGTCACCACTAATTAGACTAGTCTTTGAAGTGAAGCCAACAGCAAGAAAGAAAGAGAAAGTTCAAAGGAAGCAGTTGTACGACGTCAGGCTAAGCGCGCCCGAATCCATGCGCTGGCAGTGTACTAGTGTGAGTGCAGTGAGCAAAAGTTCAAAGGAAGCAGTTGTATGACGTCAGGCTAAGCGCGCCCGAATCTATGCGCTGGCAGTGTGAGTGCAGTGCACAATGCACCGATGCAGCGGTGCGCGGCAGATGCAAACATGGCAGTGTGATCGGTGGATGCTAACACACACTAACTACATTACTGCGACATTATACTAGTAATCATGATAATTATAGTATTGGAAAATCTGCTAAAAGAATATACCCTTTGCACAATAAGCGAGAGGGGTCGAGACGGGGCATGCTGTGCACGCGCTGCACACTTGGCATGCAACCAGCATGCATGGTTTGCTGCAGGACGTGATCAAGTTTCCTGTGACAGGCTGTGTTTTCACGGTCCCGACGCGATGTTCATGTATGTACTCCCCAGCCTTTTTTCATTTGAAGTTTTTTTAGTTTGAAGGAAGAAGTTTCGAAATGCTTTCCAAGGACCACTGCTGGGTTCTTGTTTGCACCAACCGTCATCCCTAACGTTAGTCTAAGGAACCCACTTGTCTTTCCATGCGTTCCCTGGTGATGCTGGCATTCCACACTCTGGAATCCTGGCTATCTGGCGAGAAGAGGGCCGCAGTGCTGCGATATCGTTCACAGTGTTGTGCTCGGAACACTTTGTCCATGACGACTTTCATCCTTGCTTTTGCTAAGATAATGAACGCCCTGCCAAGAGACTCTGGAGCTTGAGAAAACGGCATGACCCATCCCTGTCTTCGCTATTGGAAGATCGACTGCTTGCTGGCGCTGCTCGAGCTGCTGATGTTGAAGTGGAGAGAGACGCAGCCTCATCGCTCAGGTGTGCGGAGAAAGTCATCTGAGTTCGAGCTGTGGCTGCGTGCACGATATGACCGACTTTCACATTATGCACATAGCCACCAAAGTAAAACTCATGGACACTATCCACGGGCTTGTTCACTAGTACAGTGCGGATCGGCTATAGGGTTGTCGGCTATAGTAATATACCTCTTATAGTGATCGTATTCTCAAATTCATTTTCGTAAACCACCCCTTTCTATACATATCGGATCGGCTATAGTAATAATCTGCTATAGTAATATATCGGCTATAATGATACGATTTCTTTGTCAAAATGATCTTATTGCATACATTTTTCATCGGCTATAGTGATGATCATAAAAAATTATACATCGTACGTGGCGAGATCTGATCGCGGCAGCCAGGAAGCGCTGGTACGACTATGATATCCCTTTGGAGGAAATTCGAAATGTTTGGCGTTGGCTGTGCTTGTTCAAGTTGTTGTTCCGGGGCATCCTCAAGCGAGATTGGAGGCAGTAATGAGTACCAGCGCTGAAGCGCTACCGTGGTCTCCGCCGAGATGTTGGAGAAGGCATTCAGGTAACAGCGAAGATCAGGGACGCGGTGAAGCTTCTCCGTGACATACGACATCACGTGTCGATCGTCGTGCCACTTTGAACGGTTTCAGCGGTGATGAGTCGAGCGATGACGACCCAGACTGAGACTCTACTCCCACTAATCGATCCTGTAGATATTGTTGATAATTATGTCGATTGAATGTGTTGAAGTGTTTCTCTTCCAAAAGAACACATTTGTTGAGCACAGCAACTCCTTGAAAACTCATGTCAAAAAGTCACGAAGTTTTTGTTTCCGCAGGAAGTAGCTCTGCACTGCGCGTACTGCACAGTCACATGCACAGCACGCTTCTGCACGCTGCACTGATTCGAATGACACCATACACGCATTTGTCAGGCATACCTAAGTATGCATATCGCCTATAGTAATATATCGCCTATAGTGATATTTTCACGAAAATCAAACACCAACGCTATAGCCGATCCGTACTGTACTACTCCATCAGCTCCCTCTTCACTGTCGACGGCGACTTGCCCCTGCGTTGGAGACGAGCACGCATGGTGTGGCACTCACTCTGGGAAACAGGTTCATCACTCATCCACTGGGAGTCGGACGCATGAAATGTTGGGCATGATGAAGGTACGTGCTGTACACTCGAGGAAGTGGTGCCCTTCTTAGTTCTAGGAGCATCAGGGTTCTGCATAGAGAAGTGTTCTCTACATCGACAGAGGAGAGAAGGTAGAGAAACGAAAAATATTTCAATCTACAGTAATCCGAAATTTCCACTGAATGCGGAAAACTTACCGCTCCAACGACTCCTTCTTTTTCCAGACAGATACGCACCCTCATTCAGCAGAAAACTGTTCAGTTCCTTCACAGACCATTCTTCATTTGACAGTTCGTCCACGGGTTCCACAGCCATCGATGGCAAACCACTCGACACTCTCCCCTCCATCTCCAAAATAGAAAAATACAGTGTTCCACCATGCTCAACAACTGATACTCTGCACAAAAATCGAAGAGGATGCCCCGTCTCGGATCACGTGACCGTTATTGTGCAAAGGGTCTATTGTTGGCATATTGGCTTCAAGGTTGGCGAGATATTGGAAATACAGCTCTGTTACATGTTGTTGGTTTGACAGCATGAAACAAGGTGGAGGACACCGTGTTCGGAGTGTTCGGAAACAGTGACCTTACTACAACCATCCACGGTTGGTAGAGCCCCGGTCCGTTGGGACCATCTGAACCATTATGGGTGTTGAACCCGGTTCTGACCCTCAGTATGCTAGGGGAGTTTTTTTAGACTTCTCCTAATGTCAGTCGTGTATTCTTTGATCTACACGTACCAGGGTTTATCGGGTGTTAGCGGCCGTCGTGAGTTCCCTTCGGGAACGGATACGATAATTTACTTTGTTGTTCACACTTTTAATTAATTATGCTGTTATAAAATGTTCTATTTTTGTACACAGTACCCTCAGTTCCGATACTATTCACTGATGAGCGGAACACGAAAATCGATTTTGAATAACATAAAAATCCTTAAAAATTCCATGAACTCGTTGTTGATTGGCCATGTCTGCATCGATTATACTCCTAATTGCACTAATAAAATTGCTTTCTCCACGCCGACTCTTTAAATAATTTACTTTATTTTTTATTTTATTTTTTACATGTACATGTACAGTAGATGGAAATGGCCACAACTTGTTGTTGTTGTTGTTGTTGTGTTTATTTTAATTCGCAAACCAAACGGGCAGATCTGCCCAATGAAAAGGTGGCGAATGCAGATAGAAAGCAGTAATAAATGAAATTGGGGACTGATGTAATTAGGATAGAGGTGGAGAAAAACTAAGCCAGCTGATCATCAAACAGGACGTTTGGTACTCTAGGTACTAAGGCCAGTAAGTGTGTGCGGGATCATGCTGGCGCGGAACTGGCGGAGCGTGGAGATGGCACGTATATCGCTGGGTAATGTGTTCCACAGCTGGGCGCCCCGGAACGCGAGGCAACCCTTGCCGAACCTGGTGGAAACTGGCGGTTGGCACTGTACTTTGTAGTGTAGTATTTTTCCAGTAACGATCATCTTCCTATTGGCTAATGTTTGTTTGAGAGGAGGTCAAAGGACACGAGTCACTCGACCTCAACGCACTAGTACTACAAGTACGGAAGTAGAGAGCTCGAGCGGTCATGCTTGTAGCAACACCATTCGTTCGTAAACGCACCTTGTAACAACATAAAATTTTGGTAGATTTTCGGCGATTCCCGAAGGAACCCTCCATAATAGGGACCGGCGGATTCTGCTCGAAAAGGTGGCGGATTCTGCTCGAAAAGGTGGCGGATTCTGCTCGAAAAGCAGTGAAATTGGCAGAACCATACAAACCTTATGGCGGGCAATTCCTCGAATTCTGGTCCATTTTTTATCCACATACCAAACATGCATGAAACTTACCAGAAAAAGTACCGAATTCTGCCAATTTTTCTGCCGGAAGAATCCGCCGGACCCTACAGTCCGTAATCGGCGAAAGGCTAATACTAAGTTATAGCGATTTGTCGATAAGTCTCGTTCTCGGCGAATTTTTCGGCTGGCCGATTTGGGGAAAGCCTACCACAGACTGACAGATGCGCTTAAAGAACCTTTCGCATTCGGGGGAGGCAACACCAGAAGTTGAGAACACCAGCGGACTGAATGTGCCACGATCCACGTTGAGGATTCGTTCCCCGTGCTGCAGCTTCTTCTGGTGCTCGTGCTGAAGCAGTAGGGCATCCAGTGGTTGGGCAGAGTAAGACTCCGCATCAGAATGGAAGACGCGGATGCCAAAGAAAGCATCCTGTGCTCGGGTCCAGAAGCCACGGGCACGGAAATCGGCTCTGGCTTCCTCGGCGGTGTTTGCCCATCCAGCAGTAAACAATGGTAAACACCTCTCCTGATAGAGTGGAGCTTGCTGGGGCTCGATTGCCGCTGCGTGGCATACCTCCGTGAGTAGCTCCCCTACCATGTGACGGACTTCCTTATGGCGGATTGTAGGGAAGCCACCCCGGGGGCAACACAATCATGGCATGAGCAGTGGAGAACAAAACTCCATACTAGACCACAGGCACACTTCGCGGGGACGTCGAGGAGAGGCCAGTCATACCGCAATGCAAGGCCGTCCCTGAACTCCGGCTTCGAGAGGTGGAAACCATGTTCCTTGAGAGGAAGAGCAGTGAGCCAGGAAGGGGGGCCTTTGCGGGACAGCTCATCCATACGACGGGTCAAGGGGCGGTCAGCAGCTTCTCGGAGAGCAGCGAAAGAGGTAGCACTATTTCTTGGAAGCCTTGGCAGCAGTAAACACATGCTCTTGCTTAGCATGGACATTGTCAGGGGGGGGGGGGGGGGGGGCTAACTACAATGTCATAATGCGTCACGGATTAATATTGGGAAATAGGCGAATTCGAATCCTTTACATTATGTAGACTGGACTCATTATTTTCATGAAGCGGATGAGTTGTGTGAAGTGGTCCTCAAGTGGTCCTGCCAAAAGGTGAATACCCGTACCGGGGCGAGTTTGTTTGACTTCTTGCCAATCTCAGGGAAGTACTAGTTTGGTCATAACTCATAAGATGATAAGTTGAAAGTCGCTGCAGCGCTGCATGCTTCAAACTTCGAAGTTCCAGGCAGTGGATGTGTGCATGCTCATGATGATGGTCTACAAAGAGAGCTGGGATCGAAGGCTAAGCTAGGCGAAGGGCCAGACGAACAGAGTGTCTAGAGCATGAGCTGCCTGATTCCGATCCTGACTTGATAGTGACTTTCATTCTGCAGCAATGTGTTTTGACTGTGCCTTTCGTTGGGCCTGGCTTTCGTTGTGGTGGTCCCCACTCCCTAGTCTAGCCCAGCCCACAACCCCAAGAAAGGCGAGGTGTAGAGTGCCTGTGGTGTGTTCACTTCTCCAGTCAGTGAGCACTACCCGTATACGCGTACTATCATCTAAAAAACAAAGGCTCCCAAGTCCCAGGGAGTTATTTAAAAATTATTTGCTCTTGGTAGATATAGATGTACCAGGACCAGGGAGTCGTAAAAGCCTTACGACTCCCTGTTGGGTACCGTGCAGTCGCATTTCTAGTACTGCAAGAGTAGTGTGTTCCATTGTCCAGAAACTGACTGCCTAGTGCCACGGCGCTTTGGCCGAGTGGTTGTCTGCGGATGCCTGCCTGCGGATCGCAAGGTCCCGAGCTGAAACCTCTCAGTCGAGTCTTTGCTCTACATGTACTACAAAAATACAATACTAGGTACAGTATTACAACTGACTAGTACTTAGTAGATCTACTGAGTACAGGTTCGAGAGTCGAGACAGGCGCTGGTAGCACGGAGCGTCCACCATCCACCATCCATGCCATTGCATGATGGCGTACCGACTCTCTCTCTCTCTCTGTCTTATCTGTGAGTGTGCGCTACACTAACAGCTGCGGCGGCGATGCATGACTGAGCCATTAATTTTTATGTGCATGCCTCGCTCGGCGACACCCGCGTACATTCGTTCAACTGGGTACTCAGTACTCGGCGAGAAGGCAAGAGCGGATGAAGCTTTTTTAAGTTCAAGTCAAGACCAGGTTCGCGACCAGCAGTCTTTAGTCCTTGTCGGAAGCCTTCTATGTACCACGTTACCCTCGCCGTTACGTCGCTGGGCCATCGGGCATAGTTGTGGCCTGGCAGGATCGAAACTTCCCATTCGCTGGTTGCGTTCAACCGGTGGTAACGCGGATGCGCCAATTAATTACTTCACTAATACTTTTTACTGACAGGCTGCCTCGATCGATCAGTCACCGAATGACCGTCTCCATAGGGTCAATGATCACTAGTGTCAGTAGTGATCGTGCACTGTGTAGACTACGGCCAGGGTTCTGGGAGAGCATGACTGTCACGGCGCTGGCCCCGTAAGTCTTTGCACTTTCCAAGATGAAATATCTCCAGAGCGCTTTGTAGCAGAGCCTTCGCACACCATACCAGGAGTCAGACCATTCGACTCAACCCCCGAAACTCAACGGGGTAGGACATTTTCTAGTGCCTGGTGGAGCTCCCCTTTTTTCAAACAATGGTGCGGTAAATAAAGCATGTAAATTGTTTGATGATAATCATGCTGAGCTCAGGCTAGTAGATCTACTCTGTGTAGCTAGTTGTAGCTAGCTAGGCCCTGAACGGTGAACCAGCGTTGGGTCGCGTGCGGAAGTGAAACTGTTCAAGGATAGAGCTAGCTAGCACTCAACATTCATTCGAATGTTCATTGACCATGTGTTATCGCTGTAGTGTAGACCAGGTAGACGCTGTAGATTCTTGGACCCAGCTACCTGCACTGGATCTAGGACGCCACATGCACAGCTTCACAGTCGGTCACCTGGTCACAGGTTCACACGACTTTCCATGGTGTGACCTTATCTTGTAAAATAAGCTGTGGCGAGGAACCAACCACCTGTCGACTGCCTCCTGAGTCCTGCGTACAGTAGCTAGATCCACCGCACGCCGTTCGAGCACCAAACTGACGGACCAGTCCTGTCTCCTGCCGTCCTGGATGTCCTGCCGGAAAACGCAAAAGTCGATCACAGCTGCACCAGCTCTGCATGGGGAGCCGTGTGACTCTCGTTAGTTCTGGCTTGCCGTTTTGCCAGCGGGACCCTACGGACGCTAGCAAGGGTCGCTTCTTCTTCTAGCTGGTGCACTGGCTAGAAAGTGCTGAGTGCGGAAGAAAGACTTGCGCAGAGAAAACTCATCTGAATGTTTCCGGAATAGCCCTGTGTGCTGAGCACAACCATTGGTTTCAAAGTGTTCCGGCAAGACGCACTCCGAAGGACCGGTGCGAGCCGTGCGCCGAGTCCGCAAGCGGAGTGGATCGCTGGCGCTTGTGCAGCAGAAGCGGGAACGAACGATTGGCGACCATGGCTGCTCCTGTCACTACTGTTCTGTTGGCTGTAGTCACTCTGCTGGTCTTCCTTCCGCGCAGTAGCGGACAGTGTAAGTGATCAGTTGAGTCTTGCATTCGTTCAGTGTACTAAGCGTTGGAATAACTGTTACTTCGCCACAGTTGTAATTTCGGATCATTCCGTGCATGGAATGTGTAGGGGCTAGGCGGAAGAGGCTTGTGTTATAATGTGTCGCAATTGTGCAGTTTCCAGCCCTGAGAAAGTCGAACGTGACGGTTTGATTGCGATTTACCATCTCTAGTCCCTCCTCAGGTGTCCGTTCGCAGGCAGGATATCGTGTTTTGTGTCCGCTTCCTGCCTCGACCTCAGTTGTGGTGAAGCTCAGGGTTTTTAAGGCTAGTTCGTACCACACACGCACACACACACACACACACACACACACACACACACACACACACACACACACACACACACACACACACACACACACACGCACACACACACATATACGCGCACACACACCCACACACATACACACACACCACGGAGACTCCCTCGATTTAGGTGAAGGCCTATGGAGAATCCATAAAATTAATACATAATACAAATACAAATCCCCCCCCCCCACACACACATACACACATACACGCAATGCTGTTCATTTTCGGACCAAACTCTCCCTTAGCGCTTGGTTCTGTTTTAGACCTTTGATTTGGAACTGGCGGGACCAGAATAATTAATTTCGAGAGCCCAAGATCATGGAGATAAGAGTGACATGATCTCATGTCATGATTGGCAAATTCCGAACTAAACACTTCATCTGCTAGTCGCTCCCTAGCCCTGCCAGCAGCGTTGCGTTCCTTTGGTCCAAGTGCAGTCATGTGCCACACAGGTACATGTCCAGGGGGGGGGGGGGGGGGGGGGGGGAGGGGCAGCTACTAGCACTAGTACTACAAGTATGCATTCATGCTAGAGGATGCCCCATATCAATACAATGATGATTTTCCGCATCAGGTACATGTACATGATTCTACAAGTCATGTACACCAGGAGGGGGGGGGGGGGGGGGGGTGGGTGCAGCTATGCATTCATGCCAGAGGATGCCCCCATATCAATGCAATGACGATTTGCAGCATCAGCACTAGTGATCTGGCGCAAAAGCCGTCCAGAGGCAGAGGCAGAGGCAGAGGCAGAGGCAGAGACAGAGGCAGAGACAGAGGCAGAGGCAGAGGCAGAGTTGAGTGTTTCACGGGTACTGTAAGACATGTTATTATAACGAGTCGCAAATTTAACGATTCTCCAAAATTCATAGGTTAACGAGAAGATATGTTAACGATCTTGCAGTATTCTGCCATATCCACACACAGCATATATGAAGCAGTACGGCCTCAACGGATCTTATTATAACGAAGAAATGTCATCCATTAAAACGTTAGATTTGCTTCCTCGTTATATATACATGTCTTACAGTATAGAGGTATAGTAATACCTCGTTTATCCGAATCCCTCGCCATCCGCAAGAAAATCGCTGGTTACCGATGTGCAGCATATGTTATGCATACAACATAACCGGACCTCACGATCCGCATACCGGTGCATGATTTTGCGTACAAACTGGTTAAAATGTGTAGAAAAAGCTTCGTCGTATCCGGTTGCCTGTGGCTTGCAGAAGCTAGAATCAGGGAGTTGTACAAGCAAACGAGGTCCTTGATCTTGACTTGCATGCTGGGTACATGCAGACAGCACTCAGCTGCATGCACTTGTCATTTTTCTCGCTTGTTTTACATACTGTACACGCTAGTTGTACTGCATAGGACCCGTCTACATGTACATGTATGTATGATGCCACTGCTTTTGACATGCCACATGCATATCCAGTAGGTGTGTTCAGTTATCCGGTTCCCTCGCCTATCCAGATATTTTTGTGGAAAACAGATGTGTGCGGTTAAGCGACGTCTGACTGTACTGGATTTCCCACCCATTCCTCTATCTTGCCCCATCACTGAAACCTGTACACGTGTGCATCAATCACTCAAAACGTCCATGCCTGTGCAGTCGGACCTCGCTCCACCGCACACATCAGTTTTCCACAAAAATATCCGGATAGGCGAGGGAACCGGATAACTGAACACACATACTGTATATGCATGTGGCACATCAAAATGGTGACATCGTACTTTTGAAGTTCATACACGTATACGGGTCCTATGCAGTACAACTAACGTGCACAATATGTAAAAACAAGCGAGAAATGCAGCCAGCCGGTCAAGGACCTCATTTGTTTGTACAACTCCCTGATTCTAGCTTCTGTAAGCCGCCACTATTTACCATTAGCCATGTCTCTCTCCCCCCCCCCCCCCCTCCCCCCTCCTCCACCACCCTACACAGTGGGTCCATTGTTATTAGGCATCTGCCTGTTTTGGTTTCTCCACTATAAATAGAAGAATACTACTTACAACCGGATGCGACGAAGCTTTGTGTACACGAAATCATGCGCCAGTATGTGTATGGCGAGGTCCTGTTATGTTGTATGCGTAACGTATGCTGCACATCGCTAACCAGCGATTTTCTTCCCGATGGCGAGGGATCCGGATAAAAGAGGACCAGATAAGCGAGATCTGACTGTATGTCTGTATGTGTGGCCAAATAAGTGTAACAACTTGAGAGCGGGTGTATTCACAAATCCAATTGCTTAAAACCATGAAGTAAGAACAAACGCGAAAAGACAATCCAAAATTTGGCAATAAATAGGACACCCAATTGAAGTGTAAGATTGAGCACAAAACCTTGACAAGAAACCGTTACCCGCATGGCCTACGGAACCTTAAAAAGGCGAAGGCACCGCAGGAATATCTCTCACAGTTGCTGTCTGCTAGTTGCTTTTCTGAGCTCTTTGTTTCTCGATGTGCGTATGTGCGTGTGTGTATGCGTGTGCTTGCGCGTGTGTTTTTTTCCCGCTGTGGACACACAATCATGTCATTGTGTGTATACTGCTGTACACAGTTATGGAAAGCCAGACACCGCAGAACCTGACAATATTCCTTCGCGACACGGCCGTGTTCACGTGCGCTGCTCAGCACCCCAGTGCCGCTAGCGTGTCGGTGCAGTGGTTCTTCAACGAGGCGGCGGTGGGCATGGACGCCACCATCATGACAAACATTGGTGTTACGAACACGACCACCACGCTCACTATTGGCAACGTGACCATGATGGACGTGGGCACGTATCGCTGTCAGTTCGACGATAGCAACGCAAACATGCAGCTGTCATTGTCGGCAAATCTCGTCATTATCTGTAAGTAAGAAAAAAGGCCAAGTAAAAAAAAGACTGTTTATCGTCAGCGCCCCCCCCCCCCCCTCCCCCTCCCCACACACACGCACTACTGTGAATGTCACTGTTTCATGTACTGTAAGTCAACAAATCTTTATTTTCGGCTTTTTTCACCCAGGTCATGTTTGGCCGAAAATATGTTGCGCCTGAAATGTTGTTTTGCAAGGTTCAGTGTGACAGTGTATACAGGCGGCAGCAGTACAGGCCGGAAATTTGATGCGGCCGGAATGGGTTTTAGCCCTGGGAAGCCGAAATTTGAATGGAGTAAAAATTTGTAGACTTACAGTAAGTCATTGTGTGTGTTGTTCGTCGTCTGCAGTTATGCCCGTGGTTCAAATAACGCCAGCCACCCAGACCGTTCTGAATGGAAGTATTGCGGAACTAGTGTGCAACACCACAGCTGGCACACCACCTTTCCTCTTCACATGGCTCTTGTCCTCAACTGAGGTCACGGTGGGCGTCACGAGCAACGCTACGGCGTCCACACTGCTGGTCGATACGGCCATGATGCAGAGCAGGTCCCGTACGTACACGTGCAGGGTGACGCTGGATCAACCGCTCCTGGCCAATCGACTGTCGGAAACCGGCGTGGGCACTCTGCTGACAGACTGTGAGTTGTAAGACTGGGATCACTCGCATAGTTGTGTGGACCGTATTTCTCTGATAATAAGTCGCACTTGATAATAAGTCGCACTAGACCAGGGTTCTAGCCAAAGGGGGGGGGGAGGGGGCAAGCCCCCCTTCTCAGTTTGCGCGCCCCCCTTCTCAGTTTGCGCGCCCCCCTTCTCAGTTTGCGCGCCCCCCTGTGAAATAGTGTCGCCCCCTACTCATTTTCCGGATTTTGTATTTTTTCACGCCATTCAACGAAAATACAGTCGATAGTCACTACTAGAGGGTTCATAAAGGCACATTTGTGAAGGGTGAAGTCGGGGGTTCACCCTGTATGTTACATTTTGCATGGCAAGACAATTTTGGACAATGGAAAAAATGAGTCATGGGGTAACTTTTTCCCATGCCCGCCTCCCTACTATTTTGACCTGGCTAGAACACTGCTAGACTATAAGTCGCACCCCCATTTTCAGGTTTGAGCCATATTGTTTTGACTTATTGACTTCAGTAGTAAGTCATGCTCGATTGTATGTCTCTTTCTTACCCTTGATTGTTCTTGGTGTAAAAAGGTGCAACTTACATTCGGGGAGATACGGTAACTTTAGCAACTGTAATGTGGGTATCTGGACAGTATTTGTCAGTCGCCGGTGAACTGGGAGGGGATCAGCCTCCTAGCCTAGACCGTTCCTATTTTCATGTAAATTACAGTCTATGCACAGTTGAGTCACCATGTATACATTGGTATGCTGTGCTTGGTGAAATCCTAGCCTGGTCGTTTTTCGGCGCTCCGTTCTCTTTGGCGCCCGATAGTACTATAGTTTTACAGAGAGGTTATGCCAATAATGCATACAACTGCAGCAATAGTACCACGTTGCCCTAAGCGTTCCTAGGACTAACCTTTTCGCCGAGTTTTTACACTGGCTCCTTGATCCTTGAGCCGCAGTGATGTTCCGATGGATGCAGAAAAATCAGTCAGATTCTAGGACTTGACTTTAAATTTTGTTGGATGTGAAGGTCTGCCTGCAAAGCTGATGATTACTAGTTATTCTGTTTGTGAATGTGTTTGTGCATGTGTGTTTGTGTGCGTGTCCTTCTTGTTCTGCGTGTATGTCTGTGTGTGAGTGTGTATATGTGTGCATGTGTGTATATATGTGTATATGTGTGTGTGTATGTGTGCATGTGTGTGTATATGTGCGCAAGTGCATGTGCATGTGTGTGTGTGCGCGTGTGTGTGTGTGTGTGTGTATGCGCATGTGTGTGTGTGTGTATGTGTACATGTGTGTGTGTGTCCATGTGTGTGTGTGTGTGTGTCCATGCGTATGTGTGTGTGTTTCTGCCTCATGTCCAGTCCCACCCGTGGTGTCAGTCAATGACGTCACCCGGGTCGCCGGTGAACGGATTGACATCCTGTGTCGAGTACGTGGCGATCCGCCACCCGCCTCGGTCGATGTCGCTGTGGTGTTGAGGAGCGGCATGGTGGTGGAAAGTTTTTTGTTTTCCCTTGAGGCTGGGTCGCCACGCACTGCGGTCATTAATTTCGAGATCCCGATGGCCGATCCAGCCGTTCACGCCGGCCCGGCTGTCTGCCGCACGAGAGTAGCTCTTAGTAGCGGGCTAGAAGAAGTTAACGGTTCCTTCAACATCGCTGTTCTCGGTGAGCCTCTCGTAAAGCTGTTTTTTTTTGTCGGGTACGGCTAAAGGGTCTTACTCCCCAGACACAACGGACACCGGGAACGGGTAGCTGGGAAGACATTTATTATAGACGAGAGACGGAGACAAAGACGAATGAAACGACTACATTATGGAAGAGCGTGACGGAGCGGAGCGTGACGTCTCGTCGCGTGACATTTCGAAGCGGTCATTTTGAAGACAGTCAGTTAGGAACGGGGACACTTCGGAGTGTGTCAAATTCGGCGCCAGACGATTCGACGAGAACCAGTTCGGAGAATGGCCACGACATCGCCGTCACACCCGCTTTTGCTGGGAGAAAAATCGCACTTCTTTTCGCCTGTTCATTTCACGATTCCCTGGTTTGAACTTTTCGCCTGTTCATTTCACGACTCCCTGGTTTGAACTTTTCGCCTGTTCATTTCACGACTCCCTGGTTATAACTCTACACCTCCGTCCTTCAAAAGCAATGGCTTTTGCTAGGAGAAGAATCGCACCTCTTTTCGCCTGTTCATTTCACGACTCGCTGGTTTTAACTTTTCGCCTTCGTCCTTCAAAAGCAATGGCACCAGACTAATTACCACAAATTCTTGTCGAGGTCGACGATGGCTGAGGAACAACCCGACTATGTTGGCATCACAAGCCGAGGAAGACCGAAGCTGGTTAAATCCGGCTATGAATACGTGCAGGACAAGCGAGGTCGAGACGAGATTGTCTACTGGAAATGCGAGAGCCGCGACGAGTTTGCATGTAACGGACGATTGAGGGCAGACGCCGGATTGATAGTAGCTTATGTTGGGAGCCACAATCACGCTCCAGATGCAACCAGAGCTGAGGTTGTGAAGGCGCTCACGGACGTGAAGGAGAAAGCCAAATCCTCCCAAGACTGCAGTCTTGGATACTTAGTCTCCCTCTCTCTCTCTCTCTCTCACACTGGTGTTTGGTTTGTGATTATGTTGCTGATGGCTTACATGCCTTCTTACTTAAAAGCTTCTTCTAGATACTGACACTGAGACTAGCACTCTCTCTCTCTCTCACACTGGTGTTTGGTTTGTGATTATGTTGCTGATGGCGTACATGCCTTCTTACTTAAAAGCTTCTTCTAGATACTGACACTGAGACTAGCACTCTCTCTCTCTCTCACACTGATGTTTGGTTTGTGATTATGTTGCTGATGGCTTACATGCCTTCTTACTTAAAAGCTTCTTCTAGATACTGACACTGAGATCAATCGAGGGAGAATGCAAGATAAAGGGCCTGGGTAGCTATGGCAAATATGGGCGCGCAAGTAGCTGTGCACCCCCCCCCCCCCTCCCCCCTCCCTAGTAATTTCGACCCAGGTTCAGCATGCACGTAACTGTTAATCACCATGGCCGTGCACAACCCCTAAAAGAGGGACCAGCTACGCCATTGGAGGTTATAATGGTACTCTTGGTGTTAAGCACCACTGTGTGTAAGTAGAGTAAACCTGTCAAGGCGATCACTCGGGTACAGTGACCACCTGTCCTAAAGGACCACTGACATCAGGACCAAGGGATGCTATTCCCCGTCAAATTACCCTGGATAAGGAGACCACCTGGTAACGGAGACCACATTTTGAAAGGTCCCTTGAGCGGTCGTCTTAGACAAGTTTCACTGTATGGTGATTGCATGGAGAATAGTTTTCGTCGCTGTGTGCGCCTTCCAAACATGGAAAGCGTACTCCTGGAATGCACGATGTGCTAAAGCAAAGTGTGGGATAGAATAGTGTGAGCTGTGTCAAGAATACTGTTGCTCTACTTGTCCCGTTCGCACCTGCCCCTCAAACTGAGGAATGATTTTATCTACAGAGACCCATGAAACTTCAAGAAGCCCCATGACTTCTTTGTTCTGCATCTCCTGCCGACGTTGCAAGCATCTGTATTGCTGTGGCTTGTATTCACGTCTACAGTTCCACCTGTTGCTGCGGTAACGCCGCTGACTCAGACGGTGAACGAGACACAACAGGCGGTGTTCACCTGCGAAGCAACAGCCGGCACTCCACCGTTCACGTTTGCCTGGGACAGTGGAAGTATCCCAGCTACAGAGTACGCTATCGCTCAGCTCTCACCGACGATGTCAACGTTGACAATTGCGGCAGCCTTTGTCACCGCACACGCAGGATCATACATGTGTACAGTAGCACTGAACCAAACAGCAGCCAATCTGCAACGGTCATCCTCGGCTGCCGGGTCTCTGGTCGTACAAGGTAAGTGTTGTCATGGTACCACATAACTGAATGTGGAGGGGGGGGGGGGGGGGAGAAGGGAGGTGCTTGTGTGCATATGTGTGGTGTGTTTTATTTTTGGAAAAACGTATAAGGACAAAAATGTTACCAGGTATGACTAACTGTCCACTCGCAACCCAGATCTCGTAAAATCTGGGTTTTGTGTGTGTGTGTGTGTGTGTGTGTGTGTGTGTGTGTGTGTGTGTGCGTGCGTGCGTTATGTTCGTTGTGCCTTCTGACAACATGAATTGCGAGATATTCAATGCTTGTGGGACCAAGATTCGCGCCCACCCATCCCCCCTCGCACTCCGCCCTTTGGAAAAAATTGTCTGATTGTTCCGAGTTGTTACCTCTATGCCGGCTAGCATTCAGAACTTACTGTAAAATGAGAAACTTTCGCTAGAGATTAAGTTTCGCTATTTTCGCGACCATCACACATTCGCTATTACAAATCGCCACAACGTGCTCTGTACACTGATTGCAGACAGTAACAGATCCAACTGAAGTGATAAAATTGCCAAAGTTTCTCATCGTGAACCAGCCCAATTCCTGAAAACGCAAACTTTGCGCGCCGCAACAGTTTATCGCTGTACAGTAGCTTATCTAGTAGATGTAATATAATAGTGAAGTATTGCTGCTTACGGTTGTGGCCAAAGAAATCCGACCTACAATAAAACCTGTTAAGGCGACCACTCGGATAAGGTGACCACCTGTCCAAGAAGACCATTACAACCAGGACCAAGGGATGTTATTCCCAATCAAATGACCCTGGCCTGGATAAGGGGACCACCTGGCTACAGAGACCACGTTTTCAAGGTCCCTTGAGGGGTCGTCTTAGACAGGTTTCACTGTTCGTGTCGAAAGCAGCGCGAAGGCTCCTGCGGCCCTTGAATGGGTGTTTGGACCGTGGATGCCGTAATCAAATTTGAAACGCCCCGTTGCTTTTGACTCTCGGGTTGCTTTCCTTTGGCCACAGCTATAGTTCATTTTGTAAAAAAAAATTTTTTTAGATCATTTTTGGAGCGTGCATGATGAAACTGAAAAGGAAACGCCACGCTACCTGTGACCTGCGGGTTGTATTTCTTTGGCCATCGCTGTATGTTGTGTGTACACTCTCAGATACATGTACTTCCTCCGGAAACAAAACAAACATTTCGTTAACAGTAATTCATGGCATGTCGCGTACACGGATACATACACATTGGTGTAGAGTCAGACCTCGTTTATCTGGTCCTCTTTTATCCGGATCCCCCGCCATCCGGAAGAAAATCGTTGGTTACCGATTTTCAGCATAATGTCATACATACATACCAGTATAGCATGTGTTTCCGATTATCCGGTTCCCTCACCTATCCGGATTTTGTTGTTGTGGAAAACGAATGTTTGCGGTTAAGCGAGGTCTGGCTGTATTGTCCTACTGGTTGTTCTCCGGATTTTCTCTCCGTGATGCAGTTCCACCGGTAATAGCAGAGTTCAATGCCGTCACGACCGACATCACGCTTATGCCGACATTGATGTGTGTCATTCGTGCTGAACCTCAACCGACTGTGATGTGGCTGGATGCGAACGGTGATGAAATTACGTCATCTGACTTCACAGTGGTTGCCCTAGCACCCATGGCTAACTTTACATACACCAGTCAGCTGCAGTTCAATCGTCTTGCTGTTCTATCCGATGAAATGATGTACACATGTGTTGCTAGTAATGCAGCTGGAAGAGCAGAACAGTCCGCTATGCTGACAGTGAACGGTGAGTTTGGTGGCAGCTCGTTTCCCTGGTGAATGCAAGAGGGAAACTCATTTCAGGATGTGTCACCCTCATGGGACGTTTCCCATGACTAAGTGTATCTGGATTGGATTTGGATTTTATTTATTTAGGTCACATGATTTGGTCACATGTCTTAGTTCCAGGCCGTTGTCATAATAATTATTATGACTTGGTCACACGACTGGATCTCATGAGTCATGACTCACACGACTGGGTCACATGACTGGCCTGCATGACTGGGTCTCATGAGTCATGACTCACATGACTGGGTCACATGACTGGCCTGCATGACTGGGCCGCATGACTGGCCTGCATGATTAGGCGCCACGCCTTTTTCATATGACTCGGTCGCAATGTTAGGTCACATGACTGAATTGCATGACCGGATCACATGACTGGGTCATGTATGCCAACCGTTCCGGGTTTCCCGGGACCGTCCAGGGAATACGGTTTCTCGCTCCACATATACTGGCACACATAGAGACATAGACAGCAATAGCGACAACACACATAGTGAAGGGTAGTTGGCCGCAGCCTGATGTGAACCGGATAACGAGTGAGTTATGGAAGCGAGGACTGAGAACAGAGTGTCTCAGATAGAATAGGCGTGCCAGTGGATAGCAGAAATAGGCCATGATGCAGAACCACTTGGGACGGTCAGATTAATTTTCCTGGACCGAGCCAGCTGGGAAAAAACCTCGCGCCGACGGACGCAGTTGTGAGGGAAAAAACCGGGTGTATATCCCCAATGGCGATTAGGCATCATGTAGGCATCGCAAGCACATCACGGCAAAAATTGATCAAAAAGCAATGAATATGCACAGAAATGAAGGGTAGGAGGGCAGGGACACTGGTGAGACTGACTGAAGAAGTCAGGAAAAGAAGCGACAATAAAGAACACACCAGATGCCATATTTGCAACTGAAAATATTTCGTGAGAAATACGTTTGTCCCGGGATCCAGGGATGTCCTGCGAAAGTCCCGGGATTAAGATGGAACTTTCGAAATCGATGTTTTTCTCCTTTGCATGACGATTTTCAGTGTTTCCTCGTACTAGGTCCGTTGTAAGTACACACAGCACGTAGTAGACACAGCGCAAGCGCTCGTGTTCACAAGTGCAACTCATTCGAGGATAGAAATCTAAACTACTTGCAGCTAGGAATTGGACTGTAGAGTTCGTCCTCATGTTACTCCTACATGTACATGTACTTGTAGTTGAAAGAGGTAGTCGTCAACTCTGACCCAGACAGTATCCGGTAAAAAAAGAGAAGAGGGATTTTTTCTTTCTTTCAAGGAGGATTGGATTCGCAAATACAGCGTCGCACGGAGTTCTATGGGCAAGACAGGGGCGTCACACACGGTACGACCACTACGACCATGGTCGTACCACTTTTCGTCCAGGCTGGTCCACCCAATTCATCCGCAAAAGCAATAAAAAAATTCAAGGATCTTCGGACTTGTACAAAAGATCGCAACTGTTACTTTCATTGCAAGGAGCATACAGACTTGATGCCTAGCACTAGCAGCTAGCTATTGCCCAAGACTCCAGGCGGCTATCCATTACGATAGGCGGTTGGAGTCACGGTTAGAGACCACCAGACGATGGATTCCTCACGGACGCATTCACTGCAAACTTGACGGAAACAGAGCTGAGCTGGCGGCGATCACTGGGTCCAGAACTAAAATTTTCCAAGATCTACCATGTTACAATGGCGATCAGCACATCAAGAGACACTACATGTATGTCCCTTGTCAGCTACAACATAATAATTATATTCTTTCCACAACGACACCTACCTAGTACCTCTGGCTCCTGACGATCTACTGCAAGCGGATTCGAAAATGCATTACACCCGCGAACGCAGCGCTTGTCAACGGAAAAGGGAAGCGCTTCATTCTCTGAAGCTGAAAAATGTTTGGACTGCTGCTCCACGGCGGCAGAATATTCTGCAGCTGTTCACCGACACGACCCGCTTCACCTATATTTTAACGATTTACGATCGTTTCGTTCCCCGAGAGTTTTCTGGTAGCAGCAACAAGAATTTCTTCCGCGACGACAGGACGAAAGTCTCTCGCAAACTAAAGTCCTGTTGCCACGAAGACAGAGAAGATTCCGCAAGCGCTTTCTTCTGCTTCCATTGTTGTAGCTCTCCGGTCCACTGGCAGATCTTTCAATCCCACCGAACAAAAACAAAGGATCTTCTTCTCTCTCTAAAAACAACTAAAATAATTACTTCGCGACTGTCCAGGCCGGACGTGTACATAGTGTACGGGACGCGGCAGACTTTTGCAGGACACGACATACGTTTTTGCATAGCCGCTGGCGCTAGAACACGCAGCACGCTTGTACTTCGGATTTTGCGATTTTTTCGAGGGCAATGGCCCTGATTCATTGAATGGGTTCCATTTGCCTTGATTTGCTACCTACGATGTACAGAAAATACGAAAAATCCATGAGAAGTATGTTTTTGGAGCTGGAGTGGGGTTGTCTAATAAGTGCTAGGGGAACCCTCCTTTGCGGCTGTAGAGTGCTAAAACGTGGCCTGTTAGCCGAAAAATCCTTATTTTTTTCTCCGGGCGACACCCCCGGACCCCCGGTCGTGCCACTCCCAGCAACACTGTGACGCCCTTGCAAGAGCTACGTGTTTTGCAGGGGGGGGGGGGGGTCGAGTCATGTCTGTCGCGATGTCGGCGGTAAGAATGAGCTGAAGCAACACTGCAAGACGAAAAACCGCATGTGGAACTGCAGCGGATTTCCGGCAGTCAACAGAATTTTTTACTTATGCAGTTACGACTAGGTCAATGCAAAGACATCCTTTTTGGCTTGAGCAACAATCGTGAAAAAAAATACATCTGCTGTTGATGCGTGCGCGAAACAAATTGGTGTCCAGGGAAAACGGTCAAAATCAAGGGAAGTCAGCCCCGTTGTCCAGGGATCTCCAGCCTTCAGGTTTGCATGTACGTTGTGGCAACTTGCTGGATCCAAAGGATCCACTCAATTCATCTGGATCCCGATCCACTCAATCGATCTGGATCCGGATCCAAGCAATCGATCTGGATCCGGATCCAAGCAATCGATTTGGATTGGGATCCAAGCAATCGATCTGGATCCGGATCCAACCAATCGATCTGGATCTGGATCCAACCAATTAATCTGGATTGGGATCCACTCAATTGATCTGGACCCGGATCCAACCAATCGATCTGGATCCAACCAATCGATCTGGATCTGGATCAAACCAATCGATCTGGATCCGGATCCAACCAATCGATCTGGATTGGGACCCAACCAATCGATCTGGATCCGGATCCACTCAATTGATCTGGATCCGGATCCAACCAATCGATCTGGATCCAAAGGATCCACTCAATCGATCTGGATCCGGTTCCAACCAATCGATCTGGATCCAAAGGATCCACTCAATCGATCTGGATCCGGATCCAACCAATCGATCTGGATCCAAAGGATCCACTCAATCGATCTGGATCCGGATCCATTCAATCGATCTGGATCCAGATCCAACCAATCGATCTGGATCCGGATCCACTCAATCGAACATATGCTTAGACTAGCTAGTGTCGTGATTGCTCCCATTACGTATGATGTTCAGATTATAGCAAGTGCAAGAGTTCTAGATACTCACGATGATCAGGAATGCAACAATCTCTCCTCCTCTTCTCCTCCATGCCCTCTCTGCTGACACATTGAACAGTATTCTACCGTTCACAACTCTATTTATGATGACCAATTCTATTTTATAACGCTTCCGATTGCACATTCTTGAACTTCTCCTTCTTGCAGTTGCTCCGGAGTTTTTAGAGCACAACAACGTGACTGTATTTACGGATCAACGAGCAGTCCTGGATTGTCGGGTACGGGGCAAACCCCGACCAGCTGTAACGCAGAGCGCCCCGGCCTCTGTCCCGTCAAGCAGATTTATGACTCTGGAACTGTCGTCTCCCGAACCTTTGGAATCAGTTAGTTCTCTTACGTACAGCGTTAATAATGTACTGGAAGACGCGGGAGCCTACGCTTGCACGGCCATGAACTCTGTTAGCGTTTCCGTGGCCATGGCATACCTCACAGTACTGGGTGAGTTGTTATTTTATTACTCCACATGGTCCTACATGGATGCACTGGTACAGGGGCGGATCCAGGAGGGGAGGGAAACCCCCCGAAGAACACCCTAAATGTCGCAAATGTACTACTGGAAGCCATATGCATGTGCATGCATATGTAAATATATCAGCTATTCAGTTTTGGCTAAACTGGACGCCCCCTGTAGAGATCTTTGGATCCGCTCCTGCGGAATGTACAGTTGTCCTAGTTCACTGGTGTGGCTGTTGACGGCAAGTGTGTATATTGTTGACTGGACTTTAGTTCTAATCGGTACTCTGGCAAGAATTTTCAGAGTGTGTATGATTACAGTGGAATGACTGTGTCTTGTTTCTTTTCTTGTTTTTCTCGGCGTGCAGTTCCACCCATGGTTACCATGACACCACTGACTCAGACGGTGAACGAGACACAACAGGCGGTGTTCACATGTGAACTGACAGCCGGTACTCCACCGTTCACGTTTGCCTGGGACAGTGGTAGTATCCCGTCTACAGAGTACGCTATCGCTCAGCTCTCACCGACGATGTCAACGTTGACAATTGCAGCAGCCTCTGTCAACACACATACTGGATCATACACATGCACTGTTACACTGGACAGAGAAGCCAGTTTGAGACGGTCGGCTGAAGCCACTGGCAGCTTGGTGGTCCAGAGTAAGTTTGAACGCTATAGAGCTGAGATAATTCACACAAGTAGACAACAGGAGAATGAAGTTGAAGACACCACTGCAGCTGTACTTATGGTTGTGTTTACCGCCATATTGCCTGGTGTGTCTATATTATCAACCATAAGTAGACAACACTACAAAAAAAAGGTCTCTCGGCTACAAATTCTTCCAAGTGTAAAATCCAAATGTTCAGGCCAGGCCCATCTTCAGGCGAGAGACCGTTTTTGGGTAGTGGTGGATAACTGTGACAGTGGTGTCTGCACACACAGAGGAAAGAGCTATGATGAATGGTGAATATGGCCAACGAACAATCTTCTCCCACATACTTGCGAGATAGATCAGAATGGAAGCTGATAATGGATTGATGCATCTGTGATCGGTGTGGTGGAATTAGCTTGACACCATGTTTCCATCAAAGAAAGCTGTTCACGAGTGTTCTGTCAATGTTTAAATGACTCATTTCACGTGTGTGAACTCTTACACAACCTTACCTGTTAACTCATAGTTTTGAATCTGAAATGTGTGCGCGTCTTTGTGTGTGAAAAAAAGGACCAACGACCTGATGCTTAGCTGCATCACGTCTAGACTGCACACACCAACAGCCTTCCAACTTAGTTGTAAAAATTTGGTCTTTCTTTTTTCTCTTTAATCCTTGGCTCTCGATCCGAGTCGTGTCTTTGTGCGTGTTTGAATATTCGTCTTTTTTCCAGTTCCGCCCGCTACAGCAGAGTTCAATGCCGTCACGACGGATATCACGCTTATGCCAACATTGACGTGTGTCATCCGTGCTGAACCTCAACCGACTGTGATGTGGCTGGATGCGAGCGGTGCTGAAATTACGTCATCTGACTTTACAGTGGTTGCCCTAGCACCCATGGCTGACTTCACATACACCAGTCAGCTGCGGTTCAATCGTCTGGCTGTTCTATCCGATGAAATGATGTACACATGTGTTGCTAGTAATGCAGCTGGAGGAGCCGAACAGTCTGCTATGCTGACAGTGAACGGTGAGTTTCCATTTTGAAGACATTTCGTATCCAAAAACATGTGGTAATCTGCCATGACATTAGTTGTAACGTGTCATTGTGGCTTGCCTGCGGACGTGTTTGTTTGTGTGTGTGTGTGTGTGTGTGTGTGTGTATGTGCGTGCGCGTGTGTGTGTGTTTCTGTGCGCTCGTGTGTGTGTGTCTCTATCTGACACGCACCCCTCCGCCCCCTCTGCATGACTGACCAGCAAAGGAAGTGTACGCTGACCTGGTTGTATCTTAGCAAATCTACATCGGTAGGCCCGTGACATTCTATTCGTCACCGACTGTTGATCTTTCAACACAATGTCAAATGTACTCATTTGAGTTTCACTGTTCACAGCGCACAATGGCCAAGTGTCCTCGTGAAGGAAGCCGAAAGTGATTGCATACGCATAGGTCGTAAAAGAACCCGGATTACTAGCCAGGTTTGGATATAATGAAGATGTACGTTATCATTGGCTTCTCCAGCGAACACAGGCTTCGCCACGGAACTCTGGTCAACCCAGTGCTATGCTGTTGTAGTAACTTTTTACTGACCCCCCCCCCCCTCTCTCTCTTTCTCTCTCTCTTTTTCCACGTTGCTCTCCTTTTGACTTTCAAGCGGCTCAGCTTGTATGTCGCGTGCGCGCCAAGCCCCCCATTTCTACTTCTTCTGTGAAATGGAAACAGTGTTGGTAGCTGTTGTGACCAATGACCTCCTGTTTCAGTTAGGCTAGTGATGCTGTTATGACTTGTCCTGGACTTAACTCAATCCTGATGTTGCATATAGTGGCTGTATTCTTCACTGTACTTGTCTCCGTCTTGCACACAGAGGCTCCGTCGATTGTCCAGCTGGATGACGTCACCGTTGTTACTGACCAAATGGCTCAGCTTGCATGCCGAGTGCGTGCCAAGCCCCCGGCCATGATCACCTGGACCCCACCGCCAGGAGTTGTCACGGCATTCACACAGGCAACTGTTCCGGACGCCTCGGACAGCCTGTTTCAGGTCGGCACCCTGTCGTTCACGGGCAATAATGTGCCAGCTGATGCTGGCTCGTATACCTGCAATGCCGTGAACTCTGTCAATAGCGTCATGAGTACAGCTTCACTCACTGTCCTAGGTAAGTCATTATATTATAGCTCTATATTAAGGAGCAGTCATTCAAAAATGCGACGGGTCTGGGTGTGAGAGAATATTTTTCAAACAATGTCATTGAAATCAGGGCTCTAGCCAGGTCAAAATAGTACGGGGCGGGGGAGGGGGGAGGGAGCGGGCTGGGGAAGCAGGTACCCCGTAACCCATTTTCCATTTTCAAAAAGTCGTCTTGCCATGCAGAATGTATCGTATGTGGGCACACCCCGACCTCACCCCAGACAAATGTGCCTTTATGAACCCTCTAGGAGGGAAACATGGGTGCAGTTAAGGGATTTCGCTTTGGCCAATATGTGGTGGGTCTAATCAACTCACCTCCCACCGCTTAGGAGCTGCATCTGCGCCTTGATCCTTGAGGGTGGTGGCGTTCCTACGGATGCGGAAAACTCGGCTTCCAGCCGAGTCTCACGCGAACCATGAATTATTTATTGTTAAGTAGTGACCATCGTCTCTACCCACTACATTTTCTACAGTGAAAATAGTCTAGCAACGAATAACCTTCACCTTCATATATGGTAGACATTGCCTTGCAGTTGGTGTTGTCTAGGCAATATGCGGGACATTGTACTCTCATTGTGTGCACGAAAGTCACGAACATGATGTGCTGAGTTGCTAACTGTTTTCAATCAGATTGCAGAGCACCGTAGGGTAACTCCGTACGCAGGATTGATTTGTTTGGATTCTTGCATGTCCGGAATAGTTCAGCAGTACGTAATGTTTGTATGTCTACAGTGGAATGACTGTGTCTTGTTTCTTTTCCTGTTGTTCTCGGCGTGCAGTTCCACCCATGGTTACCGTGACACCGCCGACTCAGACTGTGAACGAGACACAACAGGCGGTGTTCACCTGCGAAGCAACAGCCG